AAAAGCAGCCCCAGTACATTCGACTAGGGCTATGTTTTACTGTAGCTGTAACACAGGATAAAGTCCATTCATCCTTCGGTTCACGCCAAACCTTACTAGAGCGGCTTTGTTGAAATTGAGAGAATGTGGATTCATCACTCCACAAGACTTTCGACCAATCCGCTTTAGTTCAGCTTTGATGTTCTAAACACCATTCAAGACGCGCCTCGATATTTACTGGTGAAATTAATGGTTTTTTCTTGCAACACAATTTTTTAATCCAGCTTAATGGAGGGTTCGTCTAATCGTCTTGGTCGAAACATCTTGCCCAGTCTTCTTCTTCCAAAGCTGTTGTATTCCAGCTGCACATAGACGACGATTTTTAGTTTTATCATTCGTCACGATTCGTTTAAGGCGATTTCGTTGTGGGATTGGAATTAAAGGCGGACGTCCAGAACGATGCATCGATTTGGTTGATCCGGTATTACGATATCGAATAATAGTGTCACGAACAGTTGACACTCCGCAGTCAACGGTATTAGCAATGGTCCGATAACTATTACCACATTGATAGCAATAAATTATGGCTCCGCGTTGTTCTGCAGTTAATTCTTTAGTTTTTAACATTTTTTTTTATTTAGAGTTTCGGAGAAGGAAATTTATTAAAAAAAAAAATTAAAATTGTTGTTTTTTATGTTTATAATATAAATAAACACTAACATGTCATATGATCGCAATTTGTTATTGCGGTCATATGACTTTTCTAGCATTAATTCGCGTTTATAGAGGGTGTGCGGATACTTTTGTCCACCCTCTGTAGATTAAGATCAGTTGCAAAAATAAGCAAAGGAATTGGAAATAATCCAATGAATTATGAAACAAATCTTCAATTATCAAAAGAACAGAAGACATTGTACAAGTTGCCGAACATAATAAACGAACTTGTGATACATCATCCATGAAGTAAACTTGGCTGCGCTTGATCTTAGAGTCTCAGAAAATAATCAAGATTTTTTAATAAAAAAAATTTTTTCGATGTACAAATTTTAGTTAATGTTATACAATCTATTAACAAATTCGCTGGAGAAATTTCTCAAATGAAAACTTTAATAAGATACATTCAAATAGGCAGTATTGAGAAATCTATTAATGAACTTTGTTCAGAACTCAATGAATGTATCAATTCATCAAAATTCATTAAAAAAAATATTCAAGTTGAAAAAGTAATTAAACAATTCAAAGCCGATCAAGCTGATTTAAATAAAGTGAGTTTAATAATTAATTTCTCGAGTTTCGAATTTTCAATTTAGACAAGATTGTTAATTATAGTTTCTGGAAGAAATGAAAATTGAGGATAAAGAAATTGGTGATAAGAAAATTAGAGAAGAAGTTTCCACAATGGTGGTTAAAGTCAATGCAATGCATAATACAATGGAAAGATTAAGAAGCGGGAGAATTAACTCTGTACATGATCAAACGAAAATCGATAAAATTTTCGGGGCTCATAAGCTAAATTTTACGGATTATAAAGAAATTCATGTTGGACAGCGGCAGAGTGTGACTAAATGGGTAGCTGTTAAAGATCAAAGTCAAGTATTTGCATTCAAGAATATTTCTAATGCAAAAGATGACAAAGATAGTATACAAAAAAAATCAAGTTACGATTCTTAAAGAATTTCAAGATTGTCAAGTTATTCAAAATATTATAAAAATTTATGGACTGGTTAATCATGCGAATGTATTTATTTTATTTGGTAACAGAATGGGCTGAATTTGGAAATTTACGCGAATTTTATACAAATCATAAAGATCGATATGATACGAAATTAAAGTTACGAATATCCCTTGATATTGCTCGTGAATTAAATTTTCTAAGATCTGTTGATGTAATATTTAGTTTAATTGCTTCAATCATTTAACTCGTTTAGTTTAAAATTTATTGAGAGTATTTTTTTTTAGATTGTGCATCGTGATATTAGATCCAAGAATATTTTAATTACTTTGGATGAAAAAGCGAAACTTGTAAATTTTAAATTAAGTCGGTACTCAAATGATGATGCATTAAATCATGGTGTAAATTAGGAAGCAAAAATATCGGGAACCATTTTCTGAAAATAGCGGAATCCCCGAGGAATTCAAAAAATTAGCCAATAATGGTATGTAAAAACGACATCTATTATTTTTTCATGAAAAATTTTTAATTTTTATTATATCTTGTTTAGCTGTTAATTTCGATTCAAATTTCAGACCAAATCTTGCTGAGATGGTTATAGTTCTTGGAAATTGTTTCAAAGGATATCCATTAAAATCTTATTGCTCATGTCCTTTACCAAACCAAAATTTTGAATTGCAAAATCCAAAACGATCATTCAGTATTGATCATTTTGATAAGTTGCCAGATTTCGTATCATTCAATTTCATTACACTTTCTGAAGCGGTAATTCAACATAAATTTGAAAATAATGATAGAGATAAAGTCGCTGCATATAGATGTTTCGATGCATATTCAGAATTTGATCAAATCAAAGTTAAATATTTTAAGGCATATTACATTTCAAAAAGATTCGATGAATTACATCTTAGCCCTAATAATAGAGATAAAATTGCCGCGCAATTATTTAAAGAAGTTGCTGATGATGATGTAGCAAATGAAGTTCCTGAAGCGAAATTAAGATATGGAGATTGTCTATATAATGGAAAAGGTGTTGAAAAGAATCTTTCAGAAGCTCTCAAATATTTTAAAAGAGCTGCAGATAATGGCCTTAGGGTAGCAATGTATAATGTAGGATATTTGTATTATAATGGCATTGCTGACAAGAAAGATGAACAAAAAGCGATTCATTACATGAAATTGGCTGTTTATAATGGTTATGAACTTGCTATTAAATTTTGTAGGGATCATGATATTGCTTTTTAATCACTAGTTGAATTATTTATATATTATTTTTATAAATAAATAAAATATTTTTAATTTCGAATAATTTTGTTGTTCACTGAGATATTAAGAAAATCGTAAATTGACTAACATATTTTGGGACCATTAGGATTCAAAAATCCGTTTAATAAAATGCAAAATTCCAATTTAATGAAATATTAAACAAAGACATTTATGGACTTTATGTAATCGTAGCAACGGCGTTAAATTTTTTAACTCTTTTAAAAAAATTTTCTTTAATGTAAAAATAAATTATTTGTTATAATGACATCAAATTTTATTTTACGATCCAATTTTATAAAATTAGCCAAATTTAATTTATAATTATACATTTGACAACTTTATTGCATCGATGGTTGGTCATTAAGATTAATAAAACTTTAATAAGCAAATATTTTATAAAGATAGATAAAATATTAAAGCATATAAGATACTAAATTTACAAAATATTTAGGGATTGGAATCGATTAAAGAAATTGGAATAGAATCAATTAATCGCTTTTTACCAAAAAAAAATAATAACCGCCACTAAACATATTCGATTTTTTTTTTTTTTTTGAATTATCGATTTCGATTTTGTTAGAATCCAAATCCCTAAATATTTTTAATTTGCTTAATATTTTTGGAGAAATAAATCTCGTGTAAGAGTTGATAATAGTGCGGATGATGGTATGACTTACTGCATGGCAAGGCAAAAGCGCAAGATATTTTTGTTAACCAGCATTTTAGTTACAAGAATTAGGTATGATTACTTTTGACAAGTAATAGCTTAAATAAAACTTTATCTCATATTAAAAAAGCCTAAGAATCAAAAACATTTCTAAAAATTGAGCAGTGGCGTGATAACTAATGTCGCTCTATAACAAGGGATGTAAGCCATAATGAGTCAAATAATTTACATTATTAAATCAAAAAAAATAATATTTAACGATTAAATTAGCCATGATTCATATTCATTATAAGTTTTTATGGATTCTCATGCAAATGTAAAACATGCATAATTGTAAAAGCATCAACTTCGAAATGTGATAAATTTATACTTAACCTTTAAGAATCAAATTAAAATCATGCATTTTGTCGCTCCTGATGATACAAGTATTTGATCAAATGAAGCCTAATAACTACCAAGTTATTGTTTTAAGTTCCAAAACCATAAAGGATACGCACGAACACAAGGGAAAGATTAAATAATAAATTCCCGATGTTAACCCGAAACCAAGTCAATAAACAATATCCTAAATCTAACTAAGGTTTATCCAATGATTTATAAGTCAATTTCAACTATACGATTATTGATTATCACAATCTAAACCTATATGGAGAAATGATAAAGTATATAATGAATTTTATTAAATTCAGAGCTTCTATAAGTCATTTCTCAAGTCTTACAAATGAAAAATGATCAATATCATTAAAACAATTTTGTCAATATGTGTTATGTATTTTGAATTCATGAGTATTTTAGAAAATTTTAATTATTGTTGCATAAATTAATTCCTTAATACTCATTAGATGTGATTTGATAGTAAATTTATATCTATCAAAATCGATGTTACATTATTTCTATATGAATTTAAGTATCAAAATGTCGCAAATTTGAAACACATTAAATATTTTGTAAATGACAAAATTATTCGATATATAAATAACCGATAATAAGATTATTATTTTTATTTTATAAAAGACTCATTTAATTTTATGATTGTAATCATATCAAATTTATGAATTCAAAAATAAATTATATATCAAAATCTATAGTTTTAGAAATATAATCTATGAATAATTCAAAATAATTAATTATGTAATTTGGATCAATTGTACTTGGATTGTTAATTATATTATTATTACTTACTATTATTAGATTCATTTTCGTTGAAATTGATTTGTTTTATGTTTTCATCTGGAATAACATCAAAAATTTTAAGTATTTATCAATATTTGATTACTTAATATAAACTTATTTATACCATAGTCATTGTCTTTAATTTTATAATCGTCATGTTTTCTTTTGCCTTAAAAATACATAAGGTTAGTAATAAGTAATTGTGTAAGAATTACTAATAAAGTCTATTTACCGATTCTCATAAATTCCGTTGATATCGTTATTACTTTACTTGTGACTATATTATTTGTTATGACAGGTCCAATATCTGGAGAATAAATAATTTTTGTGGAATTTTTTTCTTCATTCATAATGATTTTATCAATAAAATCACAAATAGATCCAATAGAAAGTCTTTTATTCGGATCAGAATGCCAACATTTTTGCATCAATTCAATATATCCTTCTGGTGCGTTTGTGATAATTGGAGGACGAATACCATCGCAAATTTGAATAATTAGATCTATATCATGCTTTTGATCCCAAAAAGGTCTTCTACCTGTCATTAATTCCCACATAATCATACTGAAGCTATAAATATCCGAAGATTTAGTATATTTATTGTTTTTGGCCCTTGAAATACCTCTGGAGCAATATAAGGAATAATACCATAATATTCATTTTCATTATTATCTGATAATTCAGTTGATAATTTACTAATTCCTAAATCACTTATCACCACATCATGTTCATTATTGCAAAGAATGTTTCCACTATGAAAATCTCGATGAATAATTAGTTGAAGGTGGGTATTATAAAGCGCATAACTAATATTTTTTAATATTTTTAATTTCTTATCCCATTTAATAATATTAAATTTTTTGCTTATATAATTATTTAAATCATATTTATAATATTTCATAACAATTGCAAAATCTTTTGTTTTAGGATTTTGAGTAATTCCATAATATCTATTTAAATTAAGTAAAGAATAAATAACTCCATCATTTAAATTAGCATTATATATCATCAAAAGCTAAATTTACAAAGAATATTAATATCTAATTTTTTTTATAAATTATTAAATTAAATTAAATACTACACCTCATTTAATTCTTTTTTAGTAATATTTTTAGAATTATTAAGTTGTTTTAAAGCAACTGTCATATTAAGATTATTATATTCAAAAAATTCCTTTTCTTTATTCCAATTTGGTAAACCATTAATCCAAATTGCTTTATAAACTTTACTAAATCCTCCTTCACCAATTATATCGATTCTTTGAAATTGACTAAAAGGAATAAATAACATTCTGCTAGATTCTTGAATGAAATCAATCTGTGTATGTTTGATAAATTCATCAATAATTTTATTTCCACTTGGTATATATAACAATTTAGATTGATAACAAAATATACAAATTCCATGGTAATGTTGCAAAGGCTTTCTTTTTTTAAAACAACTATTACATAAATTATAACTGTTATTTTCCAGATTATTAATATATTCAATTGATGTAATTTTTTTAATATCTTCTTTAAAATAAGAATTTTGCAATAAATTTTCATTTTCTGCAGCTTTTTGATGCCAATAAAAAGCTTTTTCCAAGTTCTTTTCTGTTCCAATACCATGATCATAACAAATTGCTAAAGAATATATTGCATCTTTATAACCATTTTTAACAGCTTTACGATACCAATAAAAGGCCTTTTCTAAATTCTTTTCTGTTCCTTTACCATTTTCATAACATATTGCTAAATTATTCATTGCATATTTATCTTCATTTTTAGCAGCTTTGTGATACCAATAAAAAGCCTTTTCTAAGTTCTTTTCAGTTCCTTTTCCTATTTCATAACATATTGCTAAATTATTTATTGCATCTTTATCTTCATTTACAGCAGCTTTTTGATACCAATAAAAAGCCATTTTTAAATCTTTTTCTGTTCCTTTACAATTACTATAACAATGTGCTAAATTATACATTGCAAATGCATGACCATTTTTAGCAACTTTTTGATACAAATAAAAAGCCATTTCTAAATTTTTTTCCGTTCCTTTACCTTCTTCATAACATATTGCTAAATTATTTATTGCATCTTTAACTTCATTTTTAGCAGCTTTTTGATACCAATAAAATGCAAAATTTTTATTGATTGTTGTTTCAAATCCTTTATCATAGCATCTACCTAAATATAGTTGTGCAATAGGAAAATTATCTGCTACCTTTAAAAAACTAATAAATCCTTCACCATTATTTTCTTTTAAATCTAGTATATTGTAATAAGAAAATATTTCAAGAAAAAAAACATTTATTGGTTCATTTTGATTTTCTTTAAGCCAGTTATATATATCATTGGTTGCTCGAGTAGTAAGAACAATGCAATTATTAATTAATTGCTTCGTTTTTTTAAATTCTAAAGACTGTATTTTATTCAAAAGTACGAATAATTTATTAATTAAAACATTAATATTATCTGTTGAATTAATCATTTCTGAAATATATAAGCATTCGTCATTTTTAGTTTCTGCTTTTGACATGATTGATGAGATAAATAAAAAGTAGAAAAAATTTCGTCCGTCTTTGTTCCTAAAGTCCTTTCTTAAATTAAGTTTTACACAATTCTAAAAAAGGTAAAGAAACTTTACTCCGTAATGCATCATGCATATACGACAGATTTGTTTTAATTGCATGCATGATTTGTGTTAGTTACCACTAATGAAATAATTACAAAAAAAAAAAAAAAATGAAATTATTTAAGACTTATTTTGGTTTAAAAAAAATATCATTTTTATGACACGAGTCCTAATTCAAAAAAACCCGCCGGGTTCCGCCAGAAAAACTTGTTGCTTTATAAAAAATGTATTAGTTAATGTTTAATAAATCAATAAATTTTTTTTTTTTTTTTTTTTTTTTTTTTTAATCTATAATTTGTTTCTAGAAAAAGTTGTACAGAAAGTCGCGTAACGTAAAAAATAAAAAACAAGTCTAGCGCCCTGATCATCCGGTCAAGCAAAAACGTGACCCTGACGATCTGATACCAATCAAAAGATGTAATCTTAAAGCTAATACAATTTTCCTGTAAGTTGTTAAAATTCTGATGGAAACTGATTTTAAAAAAAGGGAAATAGGATTTATGCTCACAAAAAAAAAATAATAAAA